CCCCCCCCCCCAAAGGACTTTTATTATAAATAAATTTATAAATACATTTTACTTTGTGCTGATTTATTTTACACTTACATTTTATAATGTAGAATCAATTGAAAGGTTTTTAAAGACTAATTATCATTGTTTGTGATATTAATATGATTATTGTCAGTAAAGCTGACAATTATAGTATAGATTCTAGCTGCTATCATCTTCCGAAGGAGTAGCCAGGTTTGCTCTATCGTAACAATGGGCATCAGGGACATCATTTGGGTAGTGCAAGGGGACATTAGCCCCCATCCCTTAATTTGCAGATTTTATTTAAATTGCTATGTACTGTAGCGCCTCCAGTAATAAATAACTTAACAAGCCGACCAAGTTTTGGTTTTGCCCCCCACCCCCACCCCTGAAAAAAAAATGAAATGACGACCCTGATGGGCATAGTCTATAGTAGCTGATTTATCATTTTCATCTTGCGACACTGATATCCCAGACAAGTCAACATCATCCTCATCTAACCATTCAGCACTTAAAATAGAAGCATTGTCAGTGTGAGCAATAATTGCCATAAGCTCTCTCTACCTCCTTGCAGCTACTCGCATTGGTTGAATCCTTTTTTGTTGAGGAGCATGTGTTAATTTCTTATGCCCAAGAGGGCATTGTCGGTTCTGTTTCAACTTGACTTGTTATGCAAAATAGATGTTACAGATTTTGCACATCCGTTCAAGCAGCAATGTTATTATTGTTACTCACTTTACATTCCCCTAATTCTCAAAATATCGTATTGCAACTCCATCAATATCATTTATCTTGACTGCACATGACACTTGAACCTTGAACCTTGTCCTTGTTCCATACCTGCAACAGAATCTACAGGTGAAGAGAGGCCAACTTTTGACTTCTCTTGCACTAACAAAGTGTGCTAACATTAAATTGTGCGTGAATTAAAATTGGAGTACCCAATCGGAATTTCACATGGCATATATCAAAGCATTAAAAGGCAACGAAACACTTATATACAAAAAAGCAAAGACATGTACACTCATTTAATAAAGAAACAAGGAACACCAGTCTACAATAGAAAAACATGGACACATAGTTATGGAACAATAATCACTTAAAGTGCATTGAAAGTAACACGTTAAAGAAATTTGAAATAAAGACAAAGACATAACATACATACTCATATACAATAAGACACCAGTCTCATCAGGAATAAAGTAGGACAGAGGTAGGAACACATAATGTCCTTTCTGCAGGACAATGGCTGATTGAAGAGGCAGAACAACATTTATATATGACATGCAACACAATGTTACCGACAAAATCTACACCTAAACAAATCATACAAGCAGGTAGAGTTCACCCAGCAGATATAGACAGAGCCATAAAACTGAACGCAATACTAGAATCCAAGAAACAACACACAGTAAGTCTACCTTTTCTTTCTCAATACAGAAAACATTTATGGCATCACAGAGTTGTGGCTTTTCTCACAAACATATTTACACAAACATTACATTAGAAACACTTTTTAGATTGAAAATAAAAAAACATAATTTAAGAAAATATAACGAAAGTCTAATACATTAATTAGTTGTTTAATTCCAAATTCATTTATACGTCATGTTAAATAATGTATACTAGAAACAAATGCTTAAAAGAATTTCAGTAACTATTATGTAAATATGTTGTATAAGCACATGATTTAAAAATGTGTTCATTTACAAGCCGTCCAGACCCAATAGGAGAGTAAACCGAGGACGCTTTGAACGCAGCGTCTTCAGTCGACCGGGCGTCCCTCAGACCAGGAGGGACGTTCCTGACGCGCTTCCGCACGGTCTGGAGATTCGGCTATGGGAGTGCGGGGGGGGGGTATTATGAGTGCAAACTCGATGACCCACCGACACCATCTCCAAAGTGACGTTATTAGTATCACCAACAACAGAGTGAGCGGGGGCAGTGTATATTAAATGAGTTGTGTAGTGGCAGAGTATGGTGTACTTTGTATTAAAAGTGTATTGTGTATATCAAGTGTAGTGTTTATTTGAATTGTATTATGCATTTCGATAGTATTTTATATTTAAACGTGTTTTTTTTTCTCCATATGAAGTGTGTTGTGTATATGGGAAAAATTAAATATATTATATATATTAAAAAACTTGAGGTACTTGATTAGATTGATAATATTTGTATATAGTATTTCTAAAATAAGATCATTAGAAATATATCACAGACGACTGCACAATAATAATTATTCCATGGAAGTCTTAAAAA